TCTCTCTCTCTCTCTCTCTCTCTCTCTCTCTCTCTCTCTCTCTCTCTCATCTGTTGGGTATTTTTCAGGAAAGAGTAATCCTCCGGGTGAGTAACTGGCTGATGTTTGCATTACAGTGAAAAAGATTCTTTTTCTGGGGTGCCACAGCTTACAAGGAGGTACTTATTCTCAATTGATTCACTTTTTAAATTCCTACTAGGGTGAAGTAGAAGTCAACAAAAGCCCAAAATCAGTAGACTCTAAAAGATTGTTTTCTTGGACAATTTCCAATAAACTAAAGATCTGGCAAGGGAAGTCAAACAGCATAACTTAAAGGGTTCTCAATCTCCAAATAATTTATCATTCTCTCTCTCCTACTTGCTGGGGTAGTCTATGAGAGTGTTCACTATTTCTCCATAAAAATGACTCCAGGGAAAGGGTCTGCTTTCCTGGAGTCTCACCATCTCACCCAATTTTCTTGTTTCACAGGTGGGAAAACTGATATTTAGGGTTTATTTTCATTTTGTTTTCCAAGGTAATCAGGACTAGAACAAAAATCCAAGCCAACTTCTGGTTCAAAGTCCTTTCCGTTCTGCCACGCTGCACTAAACACAATGAAAATCCTCCCTGGGAAGCTTTCAACTCAGTTTAAGAAACTAAGGTATGCGAGGAATTCAGATAGTTGTCTTAGCAAAAAAACATATTTTTTCCTAAGGCAGGGAGACCACATTTGAGGATCTCCAGAAATAAACCCAGGAGACCAGGGCCAAGACCAGCCCTAGATGCATTTCTCGTAGCGTCCCATGCCTAGGAATATGAAAAACAAGGGAGAAAAGCAATGACTGTTTGAGCCACAGACTTAAACCTTCATGCTGCCTTTTAAATGCCTATCAGCCATTCAGAGCCTCTCCAGCAACATTCTGCTTCATCTTGAAGTTGTTTACAGGTCCAGTGCATGAATGGTATGAAGCATGAGGATGAACAGTTTGATTCTAGTCTCCCAGTGAGAAACTTTTACATGTGAGCTTCACTTTAGGTTTCATTATCCATTTTGCAAATTGAGCCTACAACTACACTGGGCACTATAACAAGTTCTGGATATATAACACTGAAAAATATAGACCGGGCCCCTGCCTTTGCAGGCTTTCTGTCTAGTTAGAGAGAAATGATAAACAAGTACACCAGAAAACTTACAGCTTGTAATAGTGTTGTTACAAAATCAAAGAAGGAATAAAGATAGAAGAAAATGGAAGAGAAAGGCCCTACTGAGATAATGTGGTCAGAGGCAGTTCTCAAGGGATGGCAACAATATTGACCAAAAGATGAGATGGAGCAGCCACTCAAGAAACAGGGCACTGGGCTGTTTCAGGCAAAGAGAAGAGCTATGCAGAGATCAAGGAACCAAAAGGACAGGAGTACTGCTAGTGCACAGCAGACAAAGGGGAAGTGGCATCACATGAAGCTGCTAGATAAAGCAAGCTCCAAACCACACAGAGTCCCACAGGTCATGGTAAAGAATTCAGATATTTTTTTGGGTGGGGACGAGGCAATGGAATGTCATTGAATGATTTTGATTAAGAGAAAAACACAGTCTGGTTTATAACTTCAAATACTTCAAATATATGATCTGACTTACATGGAGAGCAGTTTGGAAGAAGGTATATGTAGAAGTGGAGAAAACAATCAGGAAGCAATTGCAGTAGTCCAGGTGAGACTGGATGGTGGCTTAACTCATGTAGGGAGAGCAGAGATGGAGAGGGATGGATAGTTCAAGTTATAGATAGCAGATATGAATGACAGGTTTGCAGATGGACTGGGAATTGGGGAGCAAAAAGGCAGAATATTACCATTTGATGATAGGAAAGACTAACAAGTTTGGGGGAAGATCCAAGAGTTCCATTTGGGATATGTTAAGTCTGAGAAGCCTGTAAAACATCTAAATAGAAATGTCAAGTACAGAGCTGAACACACTAGTTAGGAAATCAGAGGAAACGTTTGGATTGAAGCTATAAATTTGGAAGTCATCTACACACAGATGGTATTTAACACCATGGTAAAGACTGGGATCACTTAGGGAGGGAGT